AACCTCGTATCTTATCCACTTTATCTAAGTGGCTGTCATATCAAAGAGATATAATGATACAAAAATTAACAATGCTTAAGTATTGCAGTATATAATACTAGAAGCTTTTGAGTTAGAACTGGAAATACTTTTTTTGGCTACAAAGGTCCAACTTGAAAAAAATGCTCCTTTTCTAATAAGTCCTGATTTATTTCAAAGGATGCGTATTTTATTTTCCATGAGTAGAACAACATGTTTATTTCATTCTCCCTGAGAATGTTTTCAATGCTGCTAAAACTGCCCCCATCTCCATCCTCCAGTTTCATACTAATCATTTGGAAATTAGAGAAATACATAGAGTGCCTGTGAATCTTCTATTGAGCTATGCAAAACATAATCAAGATGGCTGTGGCCTTTGCAACTTTGAAAAATTCTCCTAATGTGAGTCACACAATATTCAGGCATGGTACGACTTCACATTCCTTCAAGCACAAAAGAACATTCATTGCATTTAATAATGTCTTAAAGGAAAACTTTTCAAGAAATGATTGGAATTTGGGGAACAGTCTAAAAGGACAATGTCAAACTCCAGGCTTTTCTGCAAAACTAAGATCTTTTTGTTAATTTATTTTTCCAACACTTTGCTTTATCAGATGGTTTCTGTTTTTTAATACTACATTTTGTATTGCTCCCATTTTAAGTTCCATTCCATTGGATCTAATGCCTACAATCTCTCATTTCTCCTATACCTAGCAAAAATCATGGGGCAATTCCCAAGAAATGCATATATTTCTCTCTGTTTTTCTTAGCAAGTGATACATGACAAGAGGTTACATCCCATTCTGAAAATTATTTGTAGCCATCCTGACTACTTGCCAAAGATAATTTATTCCTCCATAAATCTGTGTATTTTTAAAGTGCTGTTTTCAGTGGCCAACCAAATTGTAATTGCAATCAAAATTTAGATATTGGCCTAAAAGCAGTATTGCTATCACCAAAGGATAAAAGTCAAAAAAAATCATGTTACTGACACTACTTTCTCCATTTAAACTTTTCTTTCCCATTCGTACCCTCATTAATTTTGCACCCTCTGACAAATATCAATATTTATTTTATTTATTGATTTATTTGATTTGTTAAATCACTTACAAAATAATAGGTATAAGTATAAACATGAGTAAGAATACAGAAAATAGATATGATTAAATGGGGACAATAGGACAGGGACGGGAGGCATGATGGTGCACTTATGCACGCCCCATATGTATGTATGTAGAATATGAAATAAATCCTACAGAAAGAAATTTTATACATCCCCCATCTTCACAAGATACCAACTACAAACCTCCACTGATGTTTAAGCTAATAACTCTACTTCCTTGATACACTTGAAGTAATAACTGTTTTCTTTACACTTAAGCCACCAAGGCAACTTGTAAGAGTCTGTTTTACATTTTTTTGCTGTGCTCTTTTCACTAAGGATACTCCTGTGATTGCCCCTCACCTCCCAGTTCATATTTCACACAATCCAACAGGAAAAAAGCTCTTAAGAGTGTTTGCTGGCTTGCAGATCTGTAGGCGTGCAATGCTCTCAGGAGCTGCTCTCAGGGAATACACATTTCATCTTGTAGGATCCTGTAGAGCTGTAGAGCTATGGAGTAAGATTTTTTAACCTTTTCTGTACATTTTTACCGTATTTCTCACAAAATAAGGCCGGGCCTTATTTTATTTTTTTGACCCCCGAAAAAATGGCTAGGCCATCTTTTTGGGGGTGACTTAATTCCACCCCCTTGCATGCTCGGGCGGGAGGGTGGCAATGGCTTGGATGTTGACCTTGGCATTAGTGGGGCACTTCGTATCGGGAGAGCTTCCGCCACCGTTGCTTTCCCTTCTCCCCGTGCTGCTGCGGCGTTTAGAGCAACTCCACGGCGTTTGACACAGCCACACGTGGCCAGCCAGGGCTCCTCCCTGCAACCAGAGCCCGGCGGAGACATTCAGCTTCAGGCACTCCTGTCGCCGCCTTCCCTTCGCCTTCAAAGGCAAAGCCAATTCTTTTAAAAACAACGCCCTACTACCGGTACAACAAACCCTCCCCTGCCCGAGAGGGCAGCCCAACCCCACGTGGGGAGGCATATCTCCCGGGGCCGCAGTGCAGGATCGGCGCACCCCGGGAGAAGCGCCCAGCCGCCATCCCTGCCTGGCGCTGGGCAGAGCATGAAGAACTTCGCCTGAGGCGCCTAGCGCAGCTGACAGGCGGGCCCTCCTGCCCGGCAGCGGAGCTCTCGCCAAGGCAGTGAGCGCCTCCCCACCGGGCCCTCCGCTCATCCTGCCAGGGCCGCGCCAGAGCCATGGGGGCTGGGCAGAGCCGGGAAAGCGAGTTGCGGGTGCGCACCCGCCTGCCAAGCGAAAGAGCCGGCCCGACCCGAGCTTGGCTTCCTTCCCAAGTCCCTCCAGCCTGAACCCAAAGGGGCCACCGGGAGAGGCCACCCGAGGCAGTGATAGAGCCCACCCATCCGTGGACAGGGAGGCAAGGTGACGGCCCGTGCCGCGTCCTCCTCCGAGCTGAGCCCTGTTGAGTCAGCGCCTCTGCCCAATGCCTGTGCTGCTGCAGCATTTGGAGCTGCCGGCGCATTTGGAGATGTGTGGGGACAGGGACGGGCTGGGCGAGGGGTGGAAAGGACGGGCAGCTTCGGGCTCTCTCCGCCGGACCCTCCCGCCAGGGAAGCAGCGCTACCGTGGCCTTGCCTCCCTATCTGCGGATGGGTGGGTGCTATCACTGCCTCGGGCAGCCTCTCCTGGTGGCCCCTTTGGGTTAGGGCTGGAGGGACTTGGGAAGGAAGCCAAGCTTGGGTTGGCCCGGCTCTTTCGCTTAGCAGGTGGGCGCACACCCGCAGCTCGCTTTCCCAGCTCTGCCCAGCCCCCATGGCTCTGGTGCGGCTCTGGCGCAACCCTGGCGGGATGAGCAGAGGGCCTGGCAGGGAGGCACTCGCCTTGGCGAGAGCTCCGCCACCAGGCAGGAGGGCCCAACTGTCAGCTGTGCTGGGCGCCCCAGGTGAAGCTCTTCGCGCTCTGCCCAGCGCCAGGCAGGGATGGTGGCTGGGCACTTCTCCCAGGGTGGGCCGATCCTGTGCTGCGGCCCCAGGAGATTCGTCTCCCCACGTGGGGTTGGGCTGCCCTCTTGGGCAGGGGAGGCTTTGTTGTACCGGTAGTAAGGCATTGTTTTTAAAAGAATTGGCTTTGCCGGTGAAGGGAAGGCGGCGCCAGGACGCCTGAAGCCGAGTGTCTCCGCCGGGCTCCGTTTGCAGGGAGGAGCCCTGGCTGGCCACGTGTGGCTGCGCCAAACACCGGCAGCATGGGGAGAAGGGAAAGCAATGGTGGCAGAAGGTCTCCCGATACGAAGTGCCCCACCAATGCCAAAGTCAACGCAGGCAGCACCATATCCGGGTATGCAACAAAAGTACTTCCTAACGGCAAGCCCCCCTGCCATTCCTCCCCATTTCACATGTTTAATATAGGCCTTAATTTGGGGGGAGGGGCTTAATTTGATTTTATGCCTATAAAACATGCTGGGACTTCCTATTGGGGGAAGCCGTATTGTTGAAGAAACACGGTAATACTTTCAAAATGAATTAGATCTTAAGGAAGAATATTTTACAATGCAACAGATAAATATGCACATGCATACTATGTAAGTGCAGTGTGTGTGTGTACAAATATGTTTATGCAAGGATGCCCAGGAACTTAATTACTCCTGTTCTGGTGAAGGGAAAGGCTTTTTTTTAAAAAAAATCTTAGGAGCACTGGAAGCTCTGGGAACACTTAGCAATTTGCAGATTTGAAACATACAGGGTGAGTCCTCTTTGGCTGTACAGTACCTTCTGTGACCACGAACATAAGACTCTAACTCAGCATCAGAAATTGCTCTTTGCAAATTCTAAACCCACAAGTATACAGACATTAAACTAAAAGTGGTTTTTATCTGGAAATGGCAAGGACAAAGTATAGCAATCTCAGGGTGGTTTTAAAATGGGTTGAGAATCACTTGCAATGGGAAAGCTAGTGATTATGGCAGAGTTCTGTGTTTGAAGTATTATCTATATAGGATGCCTTTTTGCTCAGTGCAGTCCAAACAATCTCATGCAGAACCCTTTCCTTTGTAACCTCCATACATGAACTCATGGATGAGACATCAATAGCAGACCTTATACTTCTGTCTGGTTGTGGCTTTTCCCTTAATATGGACATTGGTTTCCAGATGCTTAGATTGCCAATGAATTTGAGTCTCTGTCTATAGAAACCTCTAGCTCTGTAATTGTAGATAATGGTTTGTTGCTCTCTTCATAACTAGACAATGGATACAGCTGTGCATTGCATGCAAGTGGTCTGTCACTGCCTTGTATTAATGATAATCTTTCATTTGTTATCACAGTTTCTGATGAAATAAAAATAATAGTTTCACATGTTTATGTGTGCAACTGGTTCCCTACCTGTGAAAACTAATTATTTCCACAATGTGGAAAAGTAGGGAATCTAAAGCTGCTTAAGCAACGTTACTAAAAAAAAAACACCAAGATCAAACAGTGTTTTTAGACTATCTGGCCTCAACACCTTGAGTTCCTCAAGTGCAGACATCACACAGAACTGTGATTAGCCTTTAATATGAAGCTCATTTTTGTAGGCATGAAATAAAAATAGTAAGAAAGGACTGCAGGTGCCCAAAGTGTCTCTCTGTTTATTCTCCTAACGCGTAATCTCAGGCTTCAGATTATCTCTGAATCAAGATTAGGTATCTAATCCTTCTTGAATTGGTGAATGATCATGTAGTTTCCAATCATTCTGTAGGAGTGGTAGAATAGTGATGTTATCCCCATTTCTAGAGTTATTATCTTGTGTTCTCTTTAACTCCAGATTCACAAATGGATCAAGCTTGCTCAAGGACTAATGTAGCAGCTATATCTAAACAACTTTTTTTTTTTTACAAAAATTAGGCTACTTTGTAATAATATTAAAAAAAGATTTACCTGCTATCTTTAAAAGCGTGGTTGTGTTATCACTCTCAGTCAACTTTACAAATCCAATTTGATTTCTGAAGTGATCAATGCCTTGAAAAGATAAATTCAAAGGCTTCCCTTGCAGTAATTCTTCAATTAAACCTCCACTCTCCAAGAAAGCACCAACACCACTATCAGAAAGAAAATAACATATGCATATTAATCTATCAGTCTATCTTCTATCTGACTTAATACATACAATCACTGCATTAACTTGCTACAGGAAGTTCTGACTTAATGATCATTGGTTCTGTGACCAAAGTCATAGCAGCACTCAATGAACGATACTTATAGCCAGTTCCCAGAGTTATTGCCATTACAATGCCACCAATGGTCACATGATCAGAATGTGAGTGCTTTGCAGCTCACAAAAAATCAGGACTTCAACTCCTCCCCTGCCTACCCCACCCCCATTTCTGCCTTTTTGGCCACTTTTCACAGTGACACTTCTTGGTGGTGGCAGAAATGCTGGGGCTGAAATAGAGGCTTGGACCTCTAGCAATCTCAAGCCTGCTGTGCCTATTGACTTGTGCTGTCTTCTTCCCTCTGCAGACAAGGAACGCAAAGCCTGGTCCTACCCAAGGCAGCTGCTGGCCACATCAGACCTTCCTTCCCCACGAGGCCACTTGCATCGTTTTAAAAAAAGGATTGTCATTGTCCAAATAGCTTTCATCATTCTCGTGATGCTTTGGAAGATCTCAGAAGCTTTTGGAAGGCTTTCTGAAGCATTGCAAGAACCAGCATGCGCTATTTGGAGAATGATGGGTGCAGCCTTCTCACGAGATTTCAGAAGGCCTCCGAAGCCTCTCAAAGCAACACAAGAATGCTGCATGCTATTTGGAGAATTGTATGAGTAGCCTTAGGAAGGCCTGGTGTAACCAACAGCTGCCTCACACAGGTATGCCTTGTCAGCAGGAGAAGACAGCAAAGGTCAGCCGGGAGCAGCAAGGCCTTCAGAGTACGGGGCAGAGTACAGGGCATTGGTAGGCAGTGGTGTGGGGTTTGAGGTGGCACTCCTTGGCAGCAGCGGTGTCGAATCTGAAGTAGAGGCCCAGGGGAACTGACAGCAGACTAGACTGCTGAAGACCCCAGGGCCTTTACCTCAGCTCCAATGTACCGTCACCAAGGAGTGTCGCTATGCAGGGCAGTCAAAGGGGGGGGGGGGGGGGGGGGGGAATAGGTAGATTGGAGTAGTAGAAGAAGAGGCAGGGGAGGCACTCCCTTATGTTAGAAGGCTTGAGACTGGGAAGGACCAGGCTGGGAATTGAACCCAGGTTGGATTGTCACCTAACAACTAGTAGGATACAGACAATGAGAACAACGGGGACTGCCAGGATTGAGGTTGCTAAATGAAATTATGTGACATCATGCTTTACAACTGCATTGTTTAGCAACAGAAATTCCAGTTCCAAATATGATTGCAACTTGAGCATTACCTGTATTAATTATTTTCTAGACTGCCTCCCTCATTTTTCATAGATTTCCTGTTTACAGAATACTAACAGTAATTTAAATTATCAATTTACCACATGCAGTTGTATAAAATGTTAACTTTACCTGAGCTAATAGACAACTCATGACCCACCCCACCCCCTGGGTCACGAGTTAAGAGGTTTTTCCTTACCAGAATCCTCAATGCCTTCAACAATGGCAGAGCTTCTAATATGTTTGAAAAGTTCTTCAAAAATTTAAAAAGATGCATCCGCCTTGAAAAGAGCCCATGTTAAACTGTCAAATATCAGGAGCTGACCACAGGAAACATTTTATGACATTTTTGTATTGTGACATGAAATGCTTTCTGATCATTTTTTTTGTCATAAAATGTTTTATGAAATCTACCAAATTTCAATTCCAGAGGAGTCGTGGATCCTGGATTTTAGATTCATTCTTTAACTTACCCTGATTTGAGAAATCTCGGCTGAAAAACTTTTTCCCTATGATAAACTGTTTTACCCAGTTTACAGACATGAGAGTTTTAGCAGTATATATAGTTAAATCTAGGGCAAACTACAATGCTTCCTTGTAAACTTCCAATTTGACTGAAGGCAAGACAGACATCAGTGATATTTCAGTCTTGCCTTGTTGCCCATCTTGGCAACCTATGCACACTGCTTTCTCTAACACATACAATAGAGAAAATGTCTTTTTCCTAGCACGGTTTCAGATCAAGTTGCCTAATGCAATATTTCTGTTACATATTTTGCCATAGGAAAAGAAAAGAAAATTTAACTGATCTGTCTTGCACATTTAAAAAAAAATCTTGTTCTTTCGGTGTTCTGGATGAAGTAAAGTATCAAACTAAGACTTTGGGAGAGTTGGATACAGAGCAAATTACAAAATGATATAGTTAACCTTGGGTCAGGATCCTGGTTTTTGAAATTTTATAATTCATTGTTATTCTGGTGAGAAATGGATCAGATTAAAACACAATACAGCTTAAAAAATAATTAATGGGATTTCCTGCCAGTAGGCATCATTAAGAACTCAGCCTTATTAAGCCTATTAAAGCCTTTAAAACCTTTGTTGTTGTTATTGTTGCCATTGTATTCACATAACTATCACTAGGTGGCAGTAACTACCTTTTAAGCAAGCGTCTTTCCTTTCATACATTGCCCTGCAAAAATGCATTTTGACTCAAAGTATGCCTTAAGGAAAGAAATGTTAAGATATGCAATTAGTTCCTTTAATAATTACCAAGACAGCTTACTAAAGCCATAACTGTGACTGGGGATAGTAACACAATCAACACAAATAAGGCATATATATGTTCTGACATCATTGCCTCTAAATTAATCATTTTCTAGCTTTCTCTTTCTATCCCTTTTTGTCTACTGTGAACTCTGAAGGGCTTTGCTACAATATTGATGTGAATTGTAGAGACTCCCATGACGTGTCCTGGAGATCACATATGTCACACTTTTCAAGCCATATTATTTCAAAGTATAACTGTGCCTGTAAATAAATTTAATAATCTCCCATAGCAACACACTAAAGTACAGGGAAGAATCAGCAGCTAGGGACTGATTTTCAAGAAAACATGCTCACTACAATTCATTGAGAAGGGTAGCAAAACAATAATTGTTTCCTAGAATACAGCTTTAAAATTACTGTTGTAAAATCATGGATTTCATAAGAAAAAGAACAAGAAATCAAAACAGCAAGCAGTATGCCTGGGTAATGGATAAACTCTTGGAACTGAACTACAAAGACCCAATTTTAATCCCTCCTTGACCAGGGAGTCTGGATGGGTCTCATAACCCAATTTTAAAAGGTTGCTATTATGGGAGATAGAAAGGGAAGGGGGGTGATTTTATAAATTCCATAAAATTTTTTAAAAATCTGAGTTTTTAGAAAAAGTTGGAATATAAATTGAGTAAGATAAGACTGTTTCGAGGCTTAGTTCACATCAGCAACTCTTTCTCCACATGACTGTTTCTAATATTAGTTGCTACGAAGAAACTCAAGGACTTTCATTGCCTATATGCTAAGGAAAGAGGCAGGGGTAGGTTAGTTTCCGTAGTAAAAGCAGTCCTTTATTTCAATCTATCACAAGTATAGGAACCAGCCACATCAGGGTGGTTTCTCTTCCCATTGTCTGATAAGGAGGGTCTGCATAAAAGTAATTGGCTGGATTGCACGTGTGAACAAGTATTACATGGTGAAGAAACCAGCCAAGAATGGTTTATATTCAGCTCTCCCAACCAAGAATGTAGGAAGCTTCAAAACTCATTCACACCAGATTTATAATTTCTAAAGTAATAAAAAATAATAATTATCAAGTCACATGAACATTAATAACTGCCTGGTCTTGATATCTCCAAAAAAGAGGTATATATTGGTAGAGGAACATACTATTCTTTATACTTTCTTAAACATTATCTACGCTTCAGCCACCCAACTTTCTCCCTAATCACTTTCTACCCTATATATGCAAATGGTTCTTAGCTATTCTACAATCTTAACTGTCTCAGAGATCTTCTATTGCCAGTCTCTAAACTAAGCAATAGCTGATTCATTTGCTGACACTAACCACAAAAGCAAAGCATGAATGATTCTCACTTCTTCTGCTTCTAGTTCTGCTATATGGGGGGGAAAAAATCAATCCTCTTTCTCACTGAGAATTGTGATGCTTGGCGTTAACTAGATCTCACATTACAACAGAAACTTATCATGCTGGTGACCCAAGACTGGGTTGGCATCTACTATCTTTTGTCCACGCTATGTGATCTTGGAATGTACTTTGAAGATTCTGAAAGATAACATGGATTTTTTGAAGTATTTTATTTTCTTTCTATTTTTTCGGCAGTGACCATTTTCAGAAAACTATCCCTTAGATTTATTTAATTATTTACCTTGTTTTGGTTTTGTTATCGAACTTTCCTTTGTAAAGCAAAGTTATAAACATAAACCATTTTTTAAAAAAATCTTATGAACCCTTTTTCAGATTTTCCCTTTTTCATGTCTGTCTTTTATGTTTTCCAAGAAAATATAATCACCATACCTATAAACCACTTGGTAAAAAGACAAAAGTCAAATCCAAGTAAATGCACTCAAGTCAATATTACAAGTGACATTATGTCAGGCTTAACAAACAAGAAAGCTGTCATCCTGAACTGCTATTATAATTGAAGTACCAGTATTATATATATAATATAATGTACTTATTGGAGAAGCTACTGTTAAGATAATATGAGGTCAAGGCCACAATAAATAACCATTTGCAAGAGATAGGTTCCTCTCAGATAAGGATAACAAAAGACAGAAAATGAGGTGGTTGAACATCTGAACTTTTCCTGGAATCAATCAATTACAGAAAACATATCTAGCCAGATGATACTGTGACATTCCTGCTGGATGAAAAGATAGCAAGATGTTTAGATAACCTTTGAGTGACTGCTGTAAAAAATATTAGTAACAGCTATACAAACATCTGAGATTATAAGTGTGGAAGAAGACTAGGGTCTTCATCCAAACTTTTATAAAATGGCGCTCATTTTATAAAATTGGATGGCTATCAAAATAAAAAAAATATGGGGCACAGAAAAGAGGTGCTATAGGATTCAGAAATGGAACAACTTTTTATTTGATGACAAAGGAGAAAAGACTAGAAGTATATTCGGCCAATGTAAAAGTGTTGGAAAATATACCACTTTTAGGTGGTATATTTAGCACAGCATGTGCAAAGGAATTCTGTTGCCAATTTTACACAGTAAGTGAAGAGAGGGAGAGTTTATTTAAACGTAGGTTTCATTTCCATTGGAGACATACCACAGACTGAACCTAACTATCTGCAGAAGCAATGGAGTATTTCAGATGCTGCACTGGCTTTCAGTAATTGATGGTATGCTGAGACAGACTGGAGGAGAAGACCTGCTTCCATATGATCCCCTTTTTAATTAGTGAAGGATGAAACTCCATATTCAATATTTTTAAGTGGTCATTTGCATACTTCACTACTCCGGCTAGAGAATACAGAACTTCAAGTTGGCACTGAAAGAACATTCAAAAATAATGAGTGCACAAGCATAAATTGAATTATGAGGAGACAAAGAAATTGCAGGAAAAGGGGGAAGGGGAAAAGAATAGAATAGAAAAGGCAGTGGGTGCAGCAAACAAGTCTTTATAAAGCAGTACTTGTTTTTTATATATAAATCATTAAATAAACTATAATGTTTAACAGACCACTTATGTCAAAAGTGAAACTTCTTCATTTTTTTCATCGTTAATTTAAAGCTGTGTTAAAAGTAATTTTTGCTGCAAATCAATAGTGTATTCAACATCTGCGAACTGTAGGATTTAAGATCACAGCTAAAATTACTGGAAGCAAGTAAATGGAAATGTTTTGGCTTTTAGCACAGTTATGTTGAGAGGTTCAGCCACAGACTCATTATATCCTCTAATTTACCACATGATTTATTTTTTGCTAAACTCAAGCCATTAGCTGCTTTGTGAAGAAGTCAGAGCTGAACACAAAGTTCCCAAAAACAGTTTTAATGGTCCAAATTCATAGGCCCTTAGCCAAGTGCAACAGCGTGAAAAGTATGTATGTAGCCTTTAGTGGTGCCATCAAATACAGTATATGCTGACTAGAAAGTTAAGTTCTAGTTTGAAATAGACAAAGATAATCAACAAGAGTAACATATGCCATTTCTGTCCTATAATCAAGCCTAAATTCTGACTGAGAAGAATCTGGATAATCTGTTTTATTTAGACCAACGCTAATTTGTCACCACCTTCTCTATCAAAGTGGGTAAACATTATTAAAAAGGGCTGACTCTCTTCAGACAAAAGCACATTACTGAATTCTTAAAAACAAGGAGCATTATAATCTTTATCAAAGACAGGCATGATATTCCCCTCTGAAAAAAAAATCGGGGCCGGCCAAAAGAGACCCCCCCCGCCCGCCCGCCTCTCGCACCGCCCGCCCGCCCGGCCTCCGCTCGCACCGCGTTGCCTCGGGAAGGGAAAGGCAAAACCAGGAGCTGCTGCTGCCGTTGCAAAGCGCCGCCGTGGCTCTTCCTTTTTGCCTTTCCCTTCCTGAGGCAACGCGGGACTGGAGCCACGCAGAGCCGCGCCGGCGGTAGCAACTCCTGACTTGGGGCCTCCGAGGGGAGGGGAAGGAGGAGAAGAAGGGGGGGAAAGGGGGGGCGATTTCCAAAAAAATCGGAATTCCGATTTTAATCGGAAGAATATCATGTCTGCAAAGAGTGTATTCTAACTTGCTCACATCTCACTTAACCAAACCATCCAAAGGCCCTGGGAAGGATGTGGACTGAGTCCACAACTGCATAATCCAGGTTACTGAAACCAGTAACCACTTCTTCTGGTTCCAAAATAAAAAGAAATCTAGATTAAAATTTAAAAAGATGACTTGCTCACCAGAACAGGTTCTGTCCAACTAGCGCCCAAAGCAGATATCTACTAAGATACCCACAAATTCACCCGGTGTGTCTGTCCCATTCATCTTTTCTCGAAAGAATCCAGGTTACTCTAAATGGCATTTCTGGGAAGCAATTTATGAATGTAATAAATGTGGAGAAAAAGTGACACTTTAGTGCTCTTGCTGCCACCATGCAATCTCAAAAGAACAGCTCATCTCAGTATTTAATTGTGTCCATTTCTAGGTTTTCACCAGCTATGTTTAAATGTCACTATGTATGTGTACAATATGAATGTACAGTGCTAAAATATCAATGAGGAGCCTACCACTTCACATAGTTGCTAAGTATGTGTTAGTTCTAGTTATCTAGAAGTAACTGATCATTCCCCTCCTGGACTACAAAAATTCATATTAATAATATATCAATGGTTACTGGGAAAGTAATTGATGTCATAATTAATATTAAAATAATTAATACTTGTTTCTACTCCTATTCATTCTTTTCCCAGTTCTATCCTAAACAAAACAGATTTTAAAACAACCTTTGATTTCAGAATAAAAGACTTACTTGCTAATTGCTTCTTCGTTGGACAGATGCATCACTAAGAGGGTGACATGGAAAGTGCCATAATGAATCATTGCTTTGGAGAGCCTATTATCTTTTTGTATGATTGTGTTCTGAAGAGTCTGAATGCCATCTATAATCTAAGATAAAACAGAAGCATATAGAAAACCAAATTACTGCAAAGATTACTACAATTACTGCAAAAGAAAAAAGGGAGGGTGAAAAAAGATTGAGCATTTTAGTTTTAGGTAAGCAAATATGATAGTTAGTAGAGTCATGGAAGAACACAACCAACCAAGGCAAGGAATCCATTATATCTTAGTGGGATTTATGCCATAAACTAGTCCAGGGTATGGCATTTATTTATTTTTTTGAAATTGTTCCAGTGCACAAGTATATAATCAGGTCCCTGATTGGAGTTTTAAATCTGCTTCAATAAATTTGAAGCTGGTGGGGAATAAATAATTTGTGGATAAAATGGCACCCTGCTGTCACATCTTGTTATGGTTTTTCCTTGCAAAATCATGTCACTGTACACCATTTGTGCCCGATTATATGCTTTCACAAACATTTCATTCATATTAATCTTAAGCAAAGGACATGACAGCAAGTAAGGTTTCCCATTAAAACATGCAAATCCAATCATAACATTAATGAATACAATCATTGAAAAAAAGGACAAACTGTATTAGCTTTCGCTCTGAAGAGAATTGTGATGGCATGTCCAGTCTATTTGACTGGAAATGCCAAAACAAAGCAGTAAAAGAAGCTATTATCACAAAACATCTGTGTTACATCAACCTCATTTTAACAGCAGGTATTGCTAGGTTGGAAGTTATAGGAGTGAGAATATGTAGCCCATCCTCAAATATTAATATTTAATATTTAATTAATATTTAATATTTAATATTTAAATATTTAATATTTAAATATTTAATATTTAATAATAAAGGAATTGAAGTCCATTTTATACCACATCAACATAAAGAGTTTGATTGTTCTTGAGTTATCATGGCCTGGGACATTAAATTCATACAGTCTGGTAAATAATGACAGGATTATAAAGTAACTCCACTAGATTAAATCAACTGTAGCAATGGGATGGGGGATATTAGTATTGATTAGAGATTCACAAAACATATGAATAAGGTGCTTCCCTGTTCAATGAGCAGGATTGTACTTGTTGTTGTTGTTGGCCTGGGACAAATTTAACATAATTGGAGAGAATGAGGGCTATAATACCGGTATGTAGGGAGAGAATGCCATGATATTCATTGAGGATTTTGAAATAGGTATTTAGGATTTACATAATAGTATTTTTGTAATGTAACTCAATTCTTCAGACTGAAGTAAACTGTATCCACAATATCTGACAAGTTACTAGCACTGTCAAAAAGCGTTGCAAATATGTTTTAGTTTGGATCCTCCAAATTATAAAGTAAAACACTGAGAACAAACTCACCAGTCATATTTTAACCTAGCATGTTATGGAAACACAGATAATATGCTTGAGGGAAAGAAAAAATGCTAACTGGCAGATAATCATTTCTCAAAAATCTTCCTGTTTTCAAACTACCCTCTTACTTTCCTCACTCCTTCCACCTTCTTATTAAATTTATCTTTGATGTCACTGTTGCAATCAGAATGTAATCAGAATAGGTGAGCCTTTTCTAGATAACATGATTTTAAATCAGTGGAGTTCCTGTGCCAGCAATATGAACAGATTGTTGTGATTAGAACTAAACTGTGGTTTATCAACTGTGTGCCATTTTGGCTACTAAAAGAGTAGATTTTAAGAAAACAAATCACCTTTGGATTTGTGATTGGAACAGAAATGAAATAATTGGGTCTGTCTTGGTTTTTCTTTTTCTTCGTTATTGTACTGTCTTCTTCAGTCCCCTTTCCTGCTAATCTCTTTCTCTTCTTTTTAACAGATGGTTTAGATTTGCTCGAGGCTGGATAGAAAGCAAAACAGTTATTATACTGTAAGCACATGTAAGTAGAACAATGCATAACATCTGATAAATACAACATCAAAAGGCCATTCAGACATTATTTTACCCTCATTTTCAAATCTGAATGGTAAAGTTTCATCCTTTCTTAGTCAGAAACAACACCACCTCCATTCTGTTCAAGATGTTCCTGTCCTTGGAAGTCCCAAAGGTGTTTTTTTTTTAATGCAACTAGACTTGTTTTGTTTTGCTTGAAGACATTTCACTTCTCATCCAAGAAGCTTCTTCAGTTCTGAACGGAAACTCAGAATTGAAGAAGCTTCTTGGATGAGAAGCGAAACATCTTGTATCAAAACAATGAAAGTCCAGTTGCCTTTTAAAAAGCACATTTGAGACACCCATGACCAGGATGGTCAAGAATCTCCATAGACACACACCCTTGGAAGTAATGCTCAGGAGTGCAGGTGGAAGGAAGAACTAAAAACAAAGGCCATGTTGCCCTCTTTTTTCAATGTTTAAAAAAACCAACAATAACACTGCTATATACAAATCTGGTCCCAGTCCAGGTTTACAAACCTGGAGCTTCCACATATTTTGGACTGAAATTCCTTGCCACTGGCTGTCCTGCAGTAACTAATGACTAACGAAAGCCCAGAATCCAATAGAAGAGAATATGTGTAGTTCAGAGTTGAATTGTGAGGTCCTTGGTGCTCTCTAAGCTTGCTGTTAGCTTGCAGATATTTCATTACCTGACAAGATAACATCATCAGTGCATGGAGTTTGCTACTGTGGTATACAACAGCTTGGCCTGCCAGCATATGCGGGAATATGATTTTCTCTTCACTAGTTCCTTGATTGGGCTATTGCCTTCTACTAGATTACTCATCGGGTCTTAAACTCAGTGTTGATTGCTGCAGAGGATGTGTTTAAGTACACATCAGTGTTCAAGACAAGCAATCTAGCAAAAAACAATACCCTAAATGAAGAAACTGTCAAGGAGAAAACCACACCCTCCATCAGCACTGGTAGGCAAGCTAATGGATGGGGGAGCAACATCCCTAGCATTGATGATATGTTCTAGTCAAGTAATGAAATGTCTGCAAGCAACCAACCAAACTAGGAGCATTAAGAACTCCAAAGCCCAGACCCGTGATGGCAAACCTATGGCACGCGTGCCACAGGTAGCACGCAGAGCCATTTGTGCCGGCACACAAGCCAAAGGCAAACTTACCTTACTGCACATGCACGTGCCTCACAGCTGATTTTCGGCTGGTTTGAGGCCTTTTTCGGCCTTCCAGAGGCTTGAAAAAAGCCTCTGCAGGATGAATAGGCCCATTTCATCACTTCCGGTATTAACAGGAAGTGACAAAATGGGCCCATTCAGCCTGCAGAGGCTTTTTTCAAGCCTTTGGAAAGCTGAAAAAGACCTCAAACCAGCCGAAAATCAGCTATGAGGTGCAGTGCAGGTAAGGGGGGATGGGGGGATTGCACGCGCATGCGCAGGGGGGCGCGCATTGCCTTCTGGGTGCTGGTATGAGAGCGCACAAGTGCCAGCGTGCACACAATTTTTGGCACAGGAGCCCAAAAAGGTTAGCCACTACTGGCCCAGACTATCTGATACCAGTTTGCTTCATCCTGCTAATGTTTTTTTCAATTCAATCTCTAATACATTGATGGGAAAATCTCCCTAAACAAATATTTGTTATGGCTAAAAAAGAATCAAAAATTCAAAGTTTGAAATGTTTCTACCTGTTATAAATGTAAACATAGTGGGATCAAGATGATTAGGAAATACTGTTGTTTCCAGAAGGGCCACTTGTTTTGTTCATTTTTTCTTTTACGAGGCACTCATACAATGTTGCTTCAAAATTATTGTATTCCAGTATCTTCTGGGGCACCTTAAATCCATGTCATTTTTTTCAGAGTGCTTGTGTGAGTGTACCCTTTGTGCGTGTTTTGAAATTAAAACTCAAATTACAACATCATTTGGTTCCAGGTGGCCTTTGCAAAGTACTTATTAAGACTTCCTTCTGCTCTGCTCCTAAAGCTTTAATTAGTTCTGTGTTCATACGCCCTGGTCTCACTTAATCTTTGAGTTAGTTGCCTCAGGTATAATCAAGCAATCCCATCTTTCGTTATTAAATGTTTTAACTGCATTTTTCATTATTGAAATTGCCCTTTTGTGGCATTTCCCTACAAGGTTAGCATGAGCAAGCATTAGAACACAGGAAGCTTTTGCTTTATAGAAATTCTTATACTGAATAACTTGGAATTCAAATATATTTCAGAAAAAGGAAACTTCTAGCCATTTTGAAAGGGAGAATTAACAAGACCTGGAATTTGAAATGGCAAATGTTAGGGATTTTTTTTTTTTAAGAAATCTGGCCTAAATATTCTTGTTTGCTTAACTACAATGTGAATATTCAATCTAACAAAGTTTCAGAGTTCTATTCTACTAAACTTACTGCTAAGTTCAAGTTCAATATCTACTTCAGCAAATGGCATTTCCGCCATCAAGTTATCAATCGAATTGTTAGAGCTGTACGATTTCTTCCTCTGCTTTTTCCGTTCTTTTTTCTTGCACTCCACAGTTTGTTTTCCATCTGGAATACATTTAAAACAATGAATTTGGTTTTAGATTTCATGGCTGATTAAACCATCACCAGTAAAATTCTGTCCTAGGCTTACAAGCTCATTACAGGGCAGTTTTTCAAGCACAATATCAGAGGTTCTCCTGCATTTGCTTGTTTCTCCAGTTTGCAAGTTTAACTGATTTTTAAAGCATTAAATAGATTACAATAATGGATTTGCATATGTATTTTGATCCCCATTTGAAAAACAGGGATGAAGCGGACACAAGTCTTTCATAACAATCTACAGTTTAGAGTAATTCTCTTGCTCTGATTTTTAAGCTTTGAAACTAGAACAAATTTATCTGGCTATGGCTAAATAAGCTATTAACAGTGTTTTATTAATGTGAAGAAAGGTTGGCGACTCAGTTCTGCACTGAAAAAAATGATTCAGCCAGGGTACATTCAAAGGCTTCTCACAGCTGGCTGGAACTGTTAAATGGAAACAATATTATCACTTATTTGACTTCAGATTTTATTGGTTACCACTCATTTCTTATTTAGAGCTATTTGGGAAACTTACGATAAAAGGTGGTACACATACTTTTAAATAAATAAAACTCAAACTTTTTTTTTCTATTCTACGAGGGCTATCCACAAAATAGATTACGTTTTCGTCTGTAGCAAGAAGGGGCGGAGCTAGCGCGGCCATCTTTGGTCTGTGCGTGCGCCGCTCAGTCTGCATCTAGTCATGCTAGTGGGAGGTTCGTATCGTTGCTCATTATTTCACAGCAAACGTTTGAGATGTGTGCTGCAATTGTGAGGTGCGATCAGTGATAAGGTTTTTGTTGGCAAAAAACCATAAACCAATTGAAATTTCCATCCTCGTAAGAAAAGGAATTCAGAACAAGCGTAGATGAAAGTTAAGCTCAAAAATTTTGTTTTTACATGACAATGCCCGACCACACACAGCAAATCGCACTCGAGAAGTCCTGAATGCTTTCAAGTGGGAGATTTTTCCTCATCTGCCCTACAGCCCCGATCTTGCACCAGGAGGCTGAATTTTATGACAATGGAATTACAAAGCTTGTTCACCGCTATGATAAGTGCCTCAATTTGTTCGGTGAATATGTTGAAAAGTAGTATTTAAGTGTCACTTTCAAGTGTATATAATAAATTTTTTTCCCTACACTTTGTTTTTTTCCTATCGCAAAACGTAATCTATTTTGTGGATAGCCCTCGTAGATACTCAAGTATCTGCAACTCCACTATTGTGTTATCATTATGTATGCATTCAGGAACGTAACCAAAAGCCATGATTCAATTATATTCTTATCCATTATCCATTGTAATGGTGGTTATCAAACAACCATATAACAGAGGAACTGTGAGAATTGTTTTTCTTTTTGATCTAGGTTGCAGATTTAAGCAGACTTAGAGAGATTTGTTCGAGAATCTCGGAAATCTTGCTGGGTTGCCCAAGGAAAAATGAACACAGGATTCTATCCTGAAAAGCAATAAACTCAGTTAACGTGTTTAAATTTTGCTCCATATCACATTGTTTATTAGCCATATTTTTATAAATCATATCCTTCATGTATATTTCAGAATTTCATGCCACTTTGATTACACCATGTTCTGTACAAATACGTTTGCACCTTTAAAAAAACAGGGCTTAAAACTCTTTGCTGTGTTTGGCTTTTTCTTTTCTTGAGCAGTAATGGCAAACTACAGATGATATGCCATGCCATTTCTGGTGACACACCAGGCCTCTAGACCAGTTTGTGGTCAAACTCAGGCTGTCAAACTCACGGCCCATGGGCCTGATACATCACGCACTGGACACGCCCATGCCTGGTTTAGCAAAGAGTCACAACACCTCACGTGACAACAAAACAAGATTAGTTTGACACCCCTGTTCTAGATGCTCTAGAGCTCACCTGAGATGGCGCTGCTCTCACATGGCCTCTGGGGCCTCATGCAAGAATTTCAGAGTGAAGTAAAAAAAATCTCCCATCACTGCAGAAAGACAGATCTCATTGTCAAGGTTGGATATTCCACCTCTAACCTAGAGGGAATTTGGTAACAAAGGAGCACATGCTATTCTTAAGACATAAAAAGAAACCAGTGGCTTGATAGATGGGAGTGTGAAAAAACCCAAACATTTAATCCAGATTATTAGTATCCTGTATAGTTTCCTGGATACCTCATCCCTAGATAGGGGAGATAAGCCACCCGATTACAAGCTAATTGGCTTCAGTGTTCAAAAAACAAGGGAAGGATAACAAGGATAACTGCTCCTGGAAGCTGTACAGAAATTCTAATAGCTGTTAGATGGCAGCCGATTGGGGAAAAGAGATTTTGTATGAAATGCTAAGATGAATATCCTAGTTGAGCAATCCTGTCTTCAACAGGTTAATGGTTTTAAAACCACCATGTGCCTTTTTATCGGGGAGGGGAACAAAAGGGAGAAGAAAAATTGTGTGACCCCAAATCAGAGGCATGAATTTCATTTGCTCTGTTTTAGACAGGCAGCTAAAAGCTTACAAATGTATGCACCATGTAGGCAATTTATTGGGATATAGATCACAAGTACCTTTTAGGTACACTATCACTGACCAAATCTAGTTTGCCATCTTAAATTTCCAAAATTATTGCAAGTAAAAGGGCTATTATGGCAACTGTCTTTTATTAGTCTAATTATACTTTTGGTCCTGTATGAAGACAGTATTTAATGAAACAAACAAAAAGGTAAGATGAATTTCCCTGATGGCTTTGCATCAGAGCTTAATTGTCCCATTTGCAACACATAGAAATGTGTGGTTTGGCCATTATATAAATATAAATGCTGTGAACAATCAATACACAAGGAAGCAGAAACTGCTGAACAAAATGATTTGCCGTATTAAACAAGTGAGGCAGGTATTCTTTCTCTCAAGGGAAATCATCAAAAAAGGATGAGACAAACAAGTGAGTCATAGTCATGAGTGGATAGTCTGCTGGTTAACAATAGTAAATAGATAGATCATAAGTTACTCCAACACGTAACAGTTGGTTATTGTCCTTTATTGGCCTATAACTTTCATTAAAGAGTATTTTTTTGTAAAAGTTTCATTCAGAAAAAAAGACCAATTATACTTTGCAACCCAATCTATATACCTCTAATATTGAAAGCTTTTGCTCTCAGAGACCGAAAAGCTTTAAGTTTCCTGCTGTAAGTTGCAGGTTGAACTGAATAGCCTCAATGATTCCTTTCAACTCTATGACGGCATTGTTATAAAACAATGAAAATCATTAATTGAGTAATGTATGCCTAGGATTAGGTACTTTCACAGAATATACTGTTCCTTCCTTGTTTTCAAACTGAAGATGCATTTTTAATTATGGAGAAGCAGGGGTGTGGATACTATTAGAATGGAAGGCATCTAGGGAATACAAGAGATGTAGACTAGATTGAGAAATCAAAACAACACATTAGAAAATGTCTATGGCAAACCACATCTGAGACTGTTACCAATAAAATCATAAGAATATTCATTATATCATCAAGAATTGAGTCTGACCTCGAGAATCTACTGCATAGATTCATAGGATGTTCTGTTCCTTATTACTGAGAAACAGTGATTTGAACCAGATTCTATTGTAAATGTTCAATTTCTAAAATACGAACACACTCTCAGGAATAGACAACATGTGGTTTTATAACAAGGTTGCTTACTGCTGTCATACAGAAGCGTGTAATCCTTAATTATTAGAAATTTTGAACTCTGGAATGCCTCAGATAGGTTTTGCTGAAGTTATACTACCTGGATCTGTGAGCAGTATCAAATACTATTCACAAATATTAGGAACATAACAAAATATACCTTGATTCAACCCTTGCATCTCCCAAGATAGGTATTTCCTCATTATTTGTGCTACCATATCTGCCCTTGAGAGTATTGGTTGTTAACTAGGAACTAGGGTTTATTTCAGCATATCCTGCATTGTAAAATATTTTTGGAACAGTTTTCAGTATCCCTCAGTGAAAGAAAAGTACTCCATTTTGGTTGTCTGTAACTTAGAAACAGGCAACATTTTAATACAGTTGGCCCTTGACTCATGGCCACAATTTCTGCTGCTAATCAAAGTGGTTAATTGAACCACATCTGGTTTTACCCTTTTATGCTATAGCTGTTAAGCGAATCACTGTGGTTATAAGTGAATCGTATGGTTATGTGAATCTGGCTTTCTCCATTAACTTTGGTTGTCAGAAGCCATCTGGGAAGATTACAAATGGTGATCACATGACCACAGGATGCTACAACGGTTGTAAATACTTGTTAGTTGCTAAGTTTACTTTACTTTATTGTCACTGCACCTCATACAACAAAATCAAACACCATCTTCAGTGCACATCATGACCATGAAAATAAACACAAACACACATCCTTCACACTCCACACATTGAACCGAAAACCCCCAACACTGCACTATACAGTAGAATTCAAAAGAGCTACTGCCCTGGGATAGAAGCTGTTTTTCAGCCTATTTGTGCTTGTTTTTAATTATTCTGTACCGCCTGCCAGATGGTAATAATTCAAAAAAAGTGTGCTCAGGATGAGATGGATCTTTAAGAATGTTTTGAACTTTCTTAAGGCAGCAGGAGCTATAAAGCTCTTCCAAAGAGGGGAGAGGGCAACCAATGATCTTCCGGGCAATGACGTTAACCCTCTGGAGTGCTTTCCTTTCAATATTGCATCATGTGACTATGAGGATGCTGTGAGAATTGTAAGTGTGAGTCAATTTTTTTCAATACTGTTGTAACTTCAAACCAGTGCTAAACCAGTTTTAAGTTGAGGACTACCTGTACCTGAATAATTGCTGTCTTAGGTAGTAAATATAAATGTACCTCATTGACATTTCCCCCCAAACTGTATTAAAAGTCTACTACAAAGCCTGAGTTGCTGACAGGTGTTAAAGTAGACCAGGTATTAATATCACTTTCTTTCTAAGTGTATTTAAAAGATAGAAACTTCTAATTTCTCTCAGTAATTCGGTTTCTAGAGAAAATGGAAGGGCAGGGGCACAAAAAGCACCTGTAATTTTAATGCAAACTGAAACAGTTTGAGATAATGGACTAAGATGGATAGAAAATTCAACTTAATATTGTATCATGAAGTTTGTCACATCCACCAAGTTTTAGTCAAATTTCTCTAACAGGATAAACATACAGTGAAAGAAAATCAATTCTTGTGTTATATGCCTACTAAAAACAAAACAAAATACCCACATGAATACATGTAAACCAAAAGGTGACTTTGTAACAAACGAAATGAAGTGACTTCTAAAGCATTTCTTAGAATTGTTCAAATTGAGGTTTTATTACCCTTATCAACTTGTTTGCTTAAAAAGCATGGGTTAATAGTGGCATGTTTACGCACTTAAATGCTCACTTACTACACTTCAATAAGCCCATCGTAACTCCCATTCCTAGTGGTAACCTCCAGCTGCCAAGTTACATGATAAACCAGCAGCAGGATTACACTTGATCACTAAATTGGAAAGGAGGCCATCAGAAAACACCCGAATAGCAAGCTGGGTTGATTATTATTATTTTTTAAAAGAAGGCGACAGTGGCAAGTCACTTTGTACTCTTGCCAAGAAAGCAAAGGGGGTCAGGTCTGTATAATATTCAGAAGTTGAATTGGATTCAAACAAGATCCTCCGTTAGCTGCAAGGTTTTCTTACTCAAGTCTTTTCAGCCCAATTCGTTGATTTCTTTGAGCAGGATTATCACCCCTTTTGTGGAAGACTTATTCATAATACATTGGGGAACACTCGTACTTATTCATTCACGCATCGGGTGGTCTCTCTCTAGAGAGAGTATTCTGATGCCCTTATGATGACCGAGCTCCCTTTTTTGGGTTAACTAAGGGCCCGGAACAAAGCATTGCACAAGTTTCCTTGGAAGGGAGGATTCATTATCTGCGACTGCCAAACTGAGAGAGACAAAATGGAAGTGCCCCCGCCCCACTCCCACGTTAAGGAAGGAAAAGTTGAAGAGAAGGGTGAGTCTGCTGGACGCTCCTCTCTTGGCTTTGGGGCCGCTGCTAGCATTCATTATCTCCTCCTCACCGATCTGTCGTGACAACTTCTTGCTCGCAGGGGGAGGCTGAACTTTTCCTCCTATTCCAGCTTTCTCCTCCTCCTCCTCCTCCTTCGCTTCCAGCCTTTGGGAATCCGCCCGGAGAGGGGAGGATCCCTGCACAGCCATAACGGCGCCGGAGAAGACAGATCCTCGTCCCACCTCTGGGGGCGCCCAGGGGATCTGGGGGCTAGAGGACCCAGCTGCCCCCGCGGCGAAGCGAACGGAGCGAAGAGCCCAGAAAAGAAGTCGCGGCACTTTCGATATCATAGCCCGGGCTCTCGCTTTTCTCCGAGCACCTACGGAAAAACGGAGGAGTCAAAAGGAAAGCTCCACCGGTGCCTGCCGTTCAATCGGCGGAGCGGACACGACTCTGCTCCCCCGCCCCCGCACGTGTAATTTAGGGGAAACTACGGCTCCCAGCATGCAACGCAGTTTGCAGAGGGGGCTCGAAAGGAGCAAGCCGTGCGTTATGTTTGTTGGGAGTCAACGGCGCTTCGAATGTTTGTTGGGAGTCAACGGCGCTAAGCCTTTCTGATCGGTTTGCATCGTATGGTTTGCATCGTATGAAAATATTTTCCAGCTATTATTCGTTCTCCTTCTTGGGATTCTCCGTTGTATTCTCTGAAGAATCAAAATTCTTGGTGTGGGATATGGACTGCATCTGTATAATATTCTTGAGCCACATAACCCGTAATTCCCGCCATAGCTGCTCTTTATTGGAGGTGGCAACACACCCCTTTCAACCAGATCAAGGTTTAACCGTTTTGAAAAACACAGTGTTTCTCAATACTTTGTCCTTTCTGGTATCCCACGAGCATTTGTGCCAGGAGAGCACCAACTTCACTGTAGTAAATATGACTGGTTCAAACGGGAAATAATGGGTATGGCAGCCAAGCAATTTTGGAAGTTGTATGTATGGCATGCTGTCGTTGCATGGCCCTTAGCAGCCAACTTCATAATGAGCGCCTTGTATTTTCAGCTGCTCTACACCTGTCCACATACCTGGCTTTGAAATATAAACAGGAATTGAAGAGGCTTCTAGAACGAGGCTTCACCGGGAGATGGCTTAATTGATGATTTACTTAGGATGAGGTGATGCTAGAATGGTTCTCATTTGGGTATATATTCAGTTTGGGCTTTTGCACAATGCACTGCACCTAAAAATTACCATTTAAATGTATTTTGCAAATTTACCCAGTGTAGGCAAATAATTGAATGCCAAGACAGAAAATCAGGGAACATTTTAAACTCAGTTGCAATTATTGACTTGTAGCTCAATGTACTGTGGAATAAAGTTAATTTATGCTCCATTAAATCATATAAATCCATGTTAACTCAGGAAACTAAAGTTGTCAATCATGAGCTAGTAAGTTGCATGAACCCAGCCAAAGCAAACCCAGCTAAAAGAAATGATGGAATTCTAGTCACAATGCAAGCCCTGCCCTTTTTACACATATCTGTATGTGACATCTGCATATACAAAAAAGAGTGCAAGTTTGTATAGCTTACTTAGTTTCCACCTTGCTTTTTGAATCTCCCTCCTAACAGATGATCTTTGAAATATTCTTACTACTGGATTACTCCATCCTTTTGATCAACCCCCATCATTTGGAGTCCATTAAAAATATATATTTGAGTATATACAAATTTGAAACTTAGCTGTTTTTGTCTTTTAAGGAAACTAAATAATATCTTGGGCAAATTACCTGTAATTTTTTTAAAAGAGCCTCAAAATGTTTGATCTCCATACTTTTCCCTCCTCATTTGTAAACATGATGTTTGTCTTAAAGTGGGACAGTGGGTCTCTTTTAGCACAATCTATGTCACTGGAGTGTTGTGGGGGGAAAGTAATGAAGGAAGAGCTATGCATACATTGTTGAATTGCAATGTTAAATAAAAGCAAGATATAATAAAATAATCCTTAACGTTGTCAAAATATTCTGGTTCTGGAATTCTGGAACATGTTTCCATCAATATGCTGTATTCTTTTTAACAGTTTTGAGTTTTCACATAGCATTTAGTCTGTCCGCCTGGTCAAAGCCAGATCTAGTCTTCTGAAATCTGGTCCTTTCAGATCTGATGGGACTACAATACCCAAAATTCCCAAATTGGGAAACATTTCAATTAATATGTACATGTACATGAAAATAAAACAAAGCTAGGTTATCTCTCTTGCAAATTCACACACACAGCATGAATAGAACTGAAGCTGCAGCAGACGTCTAAGGAGGGAGGAAGGAGTTAATAAGGCACTGGAAAGAAAAGGGGAAAGTGTTCATATGGAACCAATTACAGTGGTATTGTAAAGGATGTTCCCTCCAGAGGAAGAAAGCTAGCTAATGGAAGAGTTATCTTCCTGGAAATGCAACAACACACATCTTGAACAGCTGGCAATGAACCAAAATATTTTTAAACCCCTTTGTTAAGATTAAAGGGAAAGAGTGACCAGTAAGATGGAGTTAGCAAAATTCTTCTAGAAAAATAGTTCTGAATGCAGCCCATTTTCTACCAGTTTCCAGATTTTGAATTGGTTGGGAGGGAAGGATACTTATAATACTTAATCGTCTTGGTTGTTTACTATTCAATTCAGTGATTTTCCAGGTATGTTATAACTTTCAAATTAAAGAGCAGGCTTTCATCAAAATTAGTATTCTGCTACAGAATGTTAAAAGACCAGTTGAATCTGGCCTGGTAGCCTGAGTTCCTTATTTAATGGCTCTTTTCAAAGGGAAAACCTAATTGTGAATGACTTAAGTCCTAACTAGACTTGTGTATTCCACTTCTTACTAATTATCACAAAGGTTTTATAAAGGCAGCAAACTTGCTTTGTACATGGAACAGAAAAATGGAAATCTAAACACCAAGTGGCATTGAAAAAATAAAATATTACCAATCACCGCTTAACGTTTATATAGCACACCCTACAACAGGAAATGCCATTGAGGATTTATTTGCTTACAGATTTGTGATTGTCGATGTAGGATCATCTGAGAGATGGATTTGTGATTGTAGTCGAGACTTCATAGTGATTTGTGTGTCTTTTATAAAGCTAGAGATGTCACTTCATCTAACTTGGCTGAAAAATGGACAAGGGAGGAATCAATGTTCATGGTATATGTTGGCATTAATGTTGGTTAAATATTATGGAGAATTTCTGAAATATAGCTAAAACAGACATAATGGAACCCTAGTGAAATGGACAGAACTAGTGAAGATACAAATTATAGAAAGGAGAAGGAAACACAATTGGAATTTGTGTCACTTTGCAGTTCAAAAGAAAGTAGTGAATTTGCTGTGATTTCAAGCTTGAACTTATATTGACCATCTGTGACTGGGAGCCTACTGTCTACTTTTAATTCCAATCATGTGGCTTTTTATATCTTTTTATACCAGGTGTCTATCCAGATACACAAGAGATTGTAGTGCTTTGTTTCCACTTCCCCACGTCAAAATATTTTTCCATGTAATACCTTATGCTACTACTAGTTAAAAAAGAAATTTCCTTGTGACAATTTTATTTCTGAATTCTTTGTAGATTCCCTCCTCCTAATTGACATGGAGAGGATGCCAAAATTCTAGATTTCTTTTTAGTGCAACTTTTGAAACATAGCTCTTCATGGTTACTATTTAATATCCCTATAAATAATAATAATAATAATAATAATAATAATAATAATAATAATAATAA